CAGAAGGCACAAGCTCTCATTTTCATATGTCACCACTTGAACCACGATCTTAAAAATGAGTATCTGATTGAAAAAGAACCCCTTGAATGAATGAAAGTCCCTGAAGGACTATTCCGACCAAAAGTCATCAAATGTTCTTCTCCAAGACACATTTTGACTAGTTTAATCTCATGTTTAATTTTGAGATTATAATGTAAGTCAGTGATGAACTATAATTCAGCTATGCATAAAATAGTCTCGCAACTGAAACTCTAAACAAGAAGTTTCAGATAAATATTTAATTGGAAAGACATTGCCAACTTTTCATGCGAGTAATTTGTACTCCAGCAGTAGTACAACACAAAATTATGAGAAGTATCCTAAGCTGATTTTAGCACTCCTTGTGGCTAAGAAACATAAATAGTTGTTGACGAAGAATCAAAATGCATGCCTGGTTGGGTTTGCACAGGTGCCTGAAGCACATAATATTACCTAGTTGAGTAACGTTATAAGGGGATGTGGTCGAGATTATAACCAGTGTGGTATGAGTTTCGAGCTCAGAATAAGAAACAAAGTGATCAAGATATTCAAGGACGACCAAACTTATCGAGGCAAAATCTTAGCCAGAAGCGGTTTGCTAACAATGTGGGTCTGAAGGGCATTGATCCCTACGTGCCGCACACCAAAACATTTGGTCATCGGAGAATGAACCTCATCTTGATGATTCTAGCTAATTTGCCTGAAGCAAATATTGCGATAAATAATGATAATGAAATGATGAGGTATTGCTGAAGAAATGATTGGTGTCATGATAATATTTTGAACAATGCATGAAAATATATTCATGGCCGAAAAAGTTAGTTCATGCCTGAAGCATGAAGTATCCGAGTAGTTAGCTCATGCTTGAAGCATCCGAGAAGTTAGCTTATGCTTGAAGCATCCGAGAAGTTAGTTTATGCCTGAAGCATCCGAAAAGTTAATTCATGACCGCAATATTTGAAAAGTTAAGTTATTTTTAGACGCAAATTATTATGAGGACAAAGTGATTTACTTTGCTGATTTTACTACTCAGATTAACTATTCGAAATTTACTATTCGGGAAGTTTACTTCTCTTAATTTGCATGCTTATTTACTCAAATTTATTCTTATGCATTCAATCATGACTCTCGTATGCAATTGACTGGTTGCTAATTCAAAGTTGAATTGTTATTTGATCTACATATCCTATACCAATTCCGGAAGGATTGCTATTATCAAGAAATTATGATAATCATCTTTTGACTAAATTTAAGATGTCAAAATGTCGAATTCCTCTCCAAGTATGGCTTAGTGCAATTCTGTGTTATTTAAGGGGTGGTGTACTATACCCTTTTATAAGAATAATCCTTGACTTATGTCATACATGATATGACTGATTTAGATATTATTAGTTTGAAAGATAAAAACAAATGATATCATATCAGTTTGCCCGAAGCAAATGAGGGAGCGAATTATATCATGTGAATTTGCACGAAGCAAACCAGTGAATGAAACTAATGGAAAGTTGAGGATAAGGATTTTCGAGAGATCTTGAAGATCTATTTTATTTGACAAGCTTCACAGCTTCCCTACGATTGTCGTGTACCCTTATAATATCTTTTGATATGTATGCTTTCATATCTGATTATATATTTTCTTGTTGGGGACATCAGTTTTATATGTTATTGTGGTTATCACAATCTGATCTACTGCATATCATAATTATCCCCCTAGAACCTAGTACTTGGTATAAAACCAAACATTTCCCATCTGCGTTTTATTCACATTGTGCAGTACTTTTCCTATATCACCACCATAGCGTACCTTTTGTGGGCATGTATATGTTGATTATAAACCTCCGTCTATTATTTAAATCATTAGAGCCCATGATATGGGATCAATATATAAATAGGTACGCTGACTGCACACTTTATGAAGATCATTTCACGACATTAGGGGGAGATAAGATCTCAAATTTAATAGAATGCCGAGAAATTCTATGGATGATTGATCTTCAATATTTAAATCCACGTAATAGGTAGACTGAACTAGAAGTTCAGGAAAAATAAGTAAACTGAACTAGAAGTTCAGAAGATAATTAATCTGTCAATATATATATTGATCATAAAAAGAGTGATTAGGTCCTATATATCTTCCCCAACTTGGACCATATGTATCTACCAATGCTCCTTGACGCTAGAAGCGTGGAGACATGTTGGTATAATCCGCGGAAAGCTAAATCTAGTAGAAAATGGTGTCACTCTTGAAATCGCTTAAAGAAGTATGTCCTGAAGACATTCGTCCAGAAGGCAAAAAACCCCAGTAAAATTTTAGGTGCACCCAAAATCATAATATTGGGGATGTGGAACGGCCAGATAAAAATATCTTTGGGAAATGTATAGAGTCTGGTTGAATTAGAAATCGCCATTATTTTATGGGAGAAATTTATGAAAAATGTTATAGTTGTCGACAACACAATTGCCTTATAAATTGCTCTCAATATATGAGAATCTGGATCCAGAGCTAGGCACCGGTAGTGTCTTGATTTTTTAATGTATAAAAGGGCAATTAAGGCATGTACAACTCAGCTCGCTAAAACTGTATTCTCTTTATAACATGTACACCATTTAATGTTAACCCTGAAGGTTACAAATAGGTGTTTGTACAAAAGAGAAATACAAGCAATATGGTGGTATGATATAAAGCGAGACTGGTAGCTTAAGGGTTTACGCAGAGACCCTGAATTAATTTTGATCAAATGTTGTCTCCCACAACAAATGGCATTAGATTCCGCAAATTAACATTATTCGCAGTGAATTATGAATTTAGATATGCAGTTGATGAATGTCATAACCGTAATTTACTGGTCATTAGACACTAATATTTATTTGTAAATCTCCGATGGATTCAACACTTTTGAAATGGGGAAAGTGAAAATGGCAACGCGTATCATTAAACTACTAAAGTCTTTGTATGACTTGGATATTATTGACTGAGTGTTTTCCTCCCGAAGAAGGAATATGCAAATATGTACCATTATGTGTTCGTTAAAGAATTGCTAATGGAGTTATTTGTTTATTATCTCAGTCGGTAATGATGATTTAAATGTTATTGAAACACATAAAGAGCTTGGTGATATCAGCTCATGCCGAAAGACGAAGTTTTGAAATAAAAGACTTGGGAAACCCAAGTATTGTCTCGATCTGAAGATCGAGCTTTTCCTTGAAGAAGTTTTACACACCAGTTAGCCTATTTGAAAAATGTCTTGAAGATGTTTTATATGGATAAGTATCATTTACTTATCACACTAACAGGTGTCCAATAATCTCTTGAAGTAGATAAAGAACAATTTAGACTCGAAGATGATAATGAGGATATTTTGGGACTGGAAGTCCATTACTTGATATTTTTATTGGAGCAATATTATAGAACTAGAAGTTCTATAGTCACATCAGGCCTGATATTGAATTTGCGATGAAATTGCTAGCAACGTTTTGTGCTCCCTCTACAATGAAATATTGAAATTGTGTTTAACATATCCTCCAGCATTTTCGAGGTATAAAGATTTTGACTTTTATGTGAGAAACCAACATGTGGTTTTTATGGCTACTTGGGTACTGGCTCTTTTATTTGATCCCTATGATGCCAAGTCCCAATCTGGTTATGCTATATTTTTACCCCCAATGTCCCATATGAGGACAAATAAGATTGTGTTGCACAAGCAAGTAATAATTTTGTTAAGGGGAACCTTACAAAACATGATGCACCTAAACCCTTCTACACACATGAACTCTAGAAGAGTTGTAAAATTCTTGTTGAGAATGTTTTCCCCACTAAACAATCTTGCAGATATGTTCACTAAGTCTCTGCCTACATCCACTTTTGAGTAATTTGTTCATAAATTGGGATGCGTGGGCTTAGAAGATTGTTATCTTCAGGGGGAGCGACAACCCCTAACTGCACTGGAATGGACAATCTAGAAGGCTTTTGAAATCCTGAAGATTATGCTCTGAAAGCATATGGTTGTACTCTTTTTCCCCAAAGCTAAGTTTTTTCCCACAGGGTTTCTTAGACTCGGGTTTTTAATGAGGCAATCGATGTTGGTGCACTTGAGTGGATAGTCTTGAAGGCCCTTGAAATCTTGAAGATTTTGCCCGGAAGGCTTATGGTTGTACTCTTTTCCTTAGCTAAGTTTTTTTCCCACTGGGTTTTCTTAGGCTAAGGTTTTTAATGAGGCAACCAGTGCAACACAATGGTTTAATATACTTCGTGTACTCTTTTCCTCGTCTAGTTTTTCCCACTGGGTTTTCTAGCGAGGTTTTTAACGAGGCATGAGTATAGTTATTTAATGGCCAAGGGGGAGTGTTATAAATATTTCAATTAGTGGCCATTAATCTTGAGACTCTTCATTTGCCTTCTACTTAATATCTTGTTTATGATAAGTATGTGAAAGGTTGTAATGGTCCCTATAAATTGAGGGTGAAAGCTAAATGAAAAGATAGTCTTATGATATTGTGTTCTATACATTGTGTTTTTCATCTCCCTTTTACTTTTTTTTTTTTTTTTATCTACTCATATACATACAATCACGAAGCAGTACCGTGCAAACATCACGCGAGAACTGAGCTAGTTGATAGGCCAAATTGCAACAGAAACCACATTAACAATTCAAGAATAACTAGAGATCAAAATTGTGATTTTTCCTAAAAAATTAATTGATTGACTATTTAAGAATATAATTAAATTTATTTTTCTTGTAAAAAAAAGAATTAAATTTATTTTATTTTAATTTATGCATGCTATAGTCAAAAGACGAACTTTACTCAAAATTTATTTTTATGTAACGGTTACAAATTTTTTCGTAAATCAAAGATTTTTTTATTTATTTTGTTTGAGATATGTGTCATTTCTATTCACATGTTGCATAAACTAAAATGGTTAAATTGAACTAACCTTTCTCGTTTGGCCCGGACCCGATATAATCCTATTACATTTCGGGTATCCAGAAAGGTATCCATGTAACGATTCTCAAACCACATTCCCACGTATTTGATCACAATCAACAGAAACCCTAAACCTCCACCACTTTCTCCGGAGCCAAACCCAGGTTTCACTACTAAATATCTCTCTATATACATATCTTTGAATTTATATTCTCCTGATGATTATCGGTGATTTGTTTGTTTTTTTTTTTTTTTTTTTGGTCAGGTTTCTGCGGTGATAATCCATTGAAGTTTCTACACCGAAGCCATGGCTCTGGTGAATCCTTAAGATCTTCTCTTTTATACTTGATTCTTGATCAGTAGCAGTTTTGGGTGCTATCCGTTTGCTAATTTGTTGATAATATTGCTTTTTGCTGGAAAATTATATATATAGCTTGTCTGCCTTTGACTAAAAGATGATCCCTTTTGCTGATGTTTTCATGTCTCGAACCTAAATTTTTAATGCTTTGTACATTTGTTTCAAGAAGATGCATTGAATTGATGATCATTATACCTTAAACTTGGCGGGTTACATTTTTTTTTTTTTTAATCTGGTTATGAGAAATTCTGTAATCTGTATTTTTGTAAATTGTCTTTTATGAGTGTCTTATATTTCTTGATCAGATGCTGCACTTGTTCTTTCCATACACGATGCTAGTTTTATGTGTGTGCATGCTTTGTTTTTTCTGGTTTTTTACTGTAAGGACTGTGTATGGACTCTCCTGCTGTAAAATGGGCAGTGGCTCAAATTTGTGTGTTCAGGAATGGGAGAATGCAGTGCCATAGTAACTTTATTATTTTTCTTTTTCTAAATTTGTATATTTTATATTTAGGATTTTTTGGAGAGCAAATTTTCCCTTCAAGGCTTCAAATGCTTTGCTAGTTTTACGTTGTATATGTACCACGTTCAAATATTTTTGTTGCTTACATAATTTTATGCTTGAAAGACATAAGCATTAAAAAAAACTATTGATTTATTGATGATTTGTTGTGGGCATTTTTTTTTTTTCATGTTAAAAGCAGCATGTTTTGTGGACTATATAGTATATACAAAGTAGAGCTCTTAAGTTGATAACAGCAATAGTTTATCAACTTAACTGCATATGAATTTGTTCAGTGATACATTAACCTTTGGTTGGTATTCATTATATGCAAGTTCTGTCATTCATAACACACTAACTTTTTTCCCTGCATGATAGACTCTGCATTCCTCCAGTACGAACAAAAATGCTTGCAAGGCTCTCATTGCTGCAGAATACAATGGTGTAAAGATTGAATTAGTGAAGGACTTTCAGATGGGTGTATCAAACAAGACTCCTGAGTTTCTTAAGATGAATCCAATTGGAAAGGTAGTACATCCCCTGTTGGAAAAATGAATTTTCATTCACACTTTTTAATGTTTTTTGCCGACATTTGTGTAGGTTCCTGTGCTTGAAACACCTGAGGGGCCTGTGTTTGAGAGCAATGCAATTGCACGATATGGTGAGAATTTTGTTTTATTTCCATTCAATCTGATCCTGCAAGCATTCAAGCAATGTTCTATCCTGATTTTACTTCTATTAATTATTCTAGTTGCTAAATTGAAGCCTGATGGTCCACTTTTTGGCTCTTCATTGATTGAATATGTAAGTTATCTTTAAATTTCAATTTAATTAAGTTCAGCACATTACTTATTTTGCTTTGTTGAAATGTGCCAATTGTTTGTTGATCATCACCTGTAAAGGGCCATGTTGAACAATGGAATGATTTCGCGGCTACGGAGGTTGATGCTAATATTGGCAGGTGGTTGTATCCTCGACTTGGCTGGGGTGTATATTTGCCTCCGGTATGTGAATTTGCTTCTCTTTGTTCCTTATGCACCTTGGGATTGCTGACTACAGCGATCCACTTGACACTCGATGATAATTGCTCGATAACTTTCTGTTAACATTGCCCAAACAGGCTGAAGAAGTTGCAGTTTCTGCACTTAAGAGAGCATTGGATGCCTTGAACCTGCACCTTGCCTCTCACACCTTCTTGGTTGGGCACTCCGTCACACTGGCTGACATTATTATGACCTGCAATCTTAGCATTGGATTTAAGATGATCTTGACTAAGAGCTTTACTAAGGAATTCCCTCATGTGGAGAGATATTTCTGGACTATGGTTAATCAGCCAAATTTCAGCAAGATATTGGGAGAAATTAAACAGGCAGAATCAGTTCCAGCTCCTCCATCCAAGAAGCCAACACAGCCAAAAGAACCTGCAACACCCCAGAGGGAGGAACCACCAAAGAAAGGGGCAAAGAAGGAAGCCAAGAAAGAAGAGCCAAAACCCAAGAAGGAAGAGCCAAAATCAGATGAAGGAGCAGAGGAAGAAGCACCAAAGCCCAAGCCAAAGAATCCTCTTGATCTTTTGCCACCCAGTAAGATGATTCTAGATGAATGGAAGAGGCTCTACTCAAACACTAAGACCAACTTCCGGGAAGTTGCCATCAAAGGTATTCACGTGTTCCTTTCTGTATCTCTCTGTATACCTTATTATGTTCTTGTCATGAAGCTTATTATTATCTTAATTGATTCAACAGGTTTTTGGGATATGTACGATCCTGAGGGTTACTCACTCTGGTTCTGTGATTACAAGTACAATGATGAGAACACTGTTTCTTTTGTAACATTGAACAAGGTGAGCGGTTTTCTTCAGAGAATGGATCTGGCACGCAAGTATGCATTTGGCAAAATGTTGGTGATTGGTTCACAGCCTCCCTTCAAGGTGAAGGGGTTGTGGCTCTTCCGTGGCAAAGAAATTCCAAAGTTCATCATGGATGAAGTCTATGACATGGAGCTGTATGAGTGGAGGGAAGCAGACATCAACGATGAAGCTCAGAAAGAGCGGGTCAACCAGATGATTGAGGACCACGAGCCTTTTGAAGGCGAGGATCTTTTGGATGCCAAGTGTTTCAAGTGAGTACAGTAGAATTGCATCCATGGGTTTTCCCCTTATCTCTAGTTTCTAGTGCTACTTAATTTTGTCCTGCAAGTTAGTATTTCCTTCTTCATTTATAATGTGATTTCTTTCACCCCAAAGAATTACTGCTCTGTGATTAAAATTTATGTTTTTGACTTTGATCTATTATACAAGCAGTAAAAGCAAGTTCATGACAATATGCTTTTTTTCTTGACGTATTCCCTTCATAGTTTCATACTATATGCAAATAGTTTGAATATTGAAATTCTTATGTCTTAGTAGTAGTAGAAGAGTAGTCAAATTGTGCATTAGTTATTACATTTGGCTGTGGGTTTGATGTCTGACATACATCTGAAGCAGCATATATGGAACTCCTTTAATTTTATTAGTAAACCGAAAATGAGAAAATGAAACAATGATTATATTAGACGTTGAGTTGAAGGGGGAATGTCATCATGTCAGCCAAAGGTGGATCTGAGTATTTTCCTGTCATAATTTGGTCTGCAACATACTGATTTGCTGCTTCTGTGTAGTGAATTCCATCCCAGTTAATATATGCATTGCTGTTATTGCACCCTGTGGCTGTGACTGTTGTACCATTCAAAACCTTTGTCTGACCACATGCTACCCTGCTGTCATAGTTCAAGGGAGGGCCACCCACCCCACAGCATGCCATTAATGGCTGTTCAAATCCTGCAACATCAGGATGATGCACTTTTCTGTTTAACTATTCAACAATAGTCAAGGATTATAAAGAAAACACCTATAACCTAATGCCAAAGACTTTAATGGTCCGAGTGGTGTAATGAGTTTGTGATCTAAATTATGAATGTTTTTTTATTTTTTTTTGCCAAGCACCTTGTGACTCCCATTGAGGGAAGGTCATAGGATCGAACCCCGGTGGTGGGGTATTGACTCTTTGAACTTTACACAGGCCCCTCAACTTTTGAAAATTGTAGTTGAACACTCTAACTCATCATTTTGGTGCATTTGAACCCAATAATCAGTTATTCACTTGGAATAACCAGTTAATGAAGTTCTAGATATGAAATTCACCATCGGCGACCCGTCGCGTGTCGCCTTCTTCAGATCAAGAAAGCGACCAAATCTGGTGTCCTTTGGCCACCAGTCTAGTTGATTTGGTAGCCTTTTTAAGAGGCAAAGTGCTAACCATATTATTTTTTCTATACAAGAGGGTGCTTTTGAATCCTTGACTTCTCTTAATGGATGAACATGATTACCCACACCAATCAAGTTGGTTAGTTCAAGAATTAAGTATAACCTAGTGGTGGTGGGGACACTACTTGTAAAGTTGTAATCGTGGAAAGATAGATAGAGGTAGGAACACTAACCATTTGTGGAATAATTGGCAATGAGATTAGACTTGATGGTGAAGATGTCAACATATATTATATTTGCATCTGAATATTGGGCTTGCAACTTGTTGCAAAGAGAATGGAGCTGCAGGTTGAAGAGACTGGCAGCCTCATTGTGTGCTCTCACACATCCTAACCCATCCACCTTTGATGGATCACTCCCAAATTTTGCAACGTTTTGTGCTAGGCATCCCAGAGGACCTGTATTGTGGACCCAAAAATTTCTTGCCCCTTCCTCATATAATGCCTAAGATTAAAAAAAAAAAAAAATTAGTCTTTTAAGGAGTTCTAATACATGCAAAAATGTATTCTTAGTATTTTAGTTATATATGTTTAGTCATTTTCCCGCAGTCACTACTCGATGGTCTGCATTGGGTAAGCTGCCCTTGTGATCCTAACTAGCAAATGACCATAAGGAGATAAATCAACTTAGGTTGTATAATAGGTCGCTCTGTTCTCACTAGGAGTCGAACTTGAAACCTTGTGACCTCTAAACCAATAATCTGACCAACTTGGTTGGGGTTGTGACAATTGTAAAATCAGTCTCCAATGTGTGGTCAAATAGGCAAATATGTGCGATTTTGGTTCCTTAACTTTTGTTGTCACCTACCATTTGATTTTTACTTGACACCTAATACCGTGTTATATTATACTGTCATTGATCACCTCCCATATGTTATTGTACAATGTTACAGGCTAAATAACTAAACAAAACAGAAACTATGAATGAATGGATACTTTCACTATAATATATAACAAGACTTATTTACCTGAATTCCATCTTCAAATCCCCTTAGAATTGCAGGGATTGAAGCAAGAATTTGATCTAATGTCTTGGAATAAAAGGCAATGGCAAGATCATTCTGCCCCATATCAAATGTGTATAGACCTTTCTCAAAGAAATCATTGGGAGGCACATATTTTTTCATTTTCTTTGCTGCACACACAGATTAAATTAAAGCTCAAATATTTGGATGATTTGGATATAAGTAAATATAATAATGTAGCCCTAAAGATTAAACTAAAACCATACTACAATATCAAGAACCAAATCAAACATTTAAAGGGTGTTTGGTAAATAGCTGTTAGCTGATTGGGTTAGTGAGTTTGATTACTTATATCATTAGCTGATTGTAGAAAAGTGTTTGGTAAATTAGCTATTAGATGATAGCTGATTACATGCAAAATGACTTTTATCAAAAAAGTGATCGAAAAATCAACTTTAAACAACTTTTTGAATTTTAGCATTTTAGAGCAATAAGTTGTTACAAAAAACTAATTAATCAAACACTCATATTGATTGTTTAACCAAGTTAAAGTGGTCAAATAAATCAAAATTGACTAATAAGCTAACTATGTTACCAAACAAAGCTAAAATTTCGATCAATTATAATAATGCGATAATTATTATTTTTACATCCTCGATTATTTCCTCATTAATCAAAGACCAAACAACACAACTTTCACAACAGAACCACATTTGCATTGACAACTAAATGTACAATAATAATGAACATCCAGGAAGCAAGATTGACTATATCGTTATAATTGAAAGACAAAAAGTATCATTTTTTCGTAAATTAGTAACAACTTACATTTGGCTAAAATATCGAGAGCTCGAGCCTTGAATTCTAGGAACTGGGCAACCTGAACTCCCAAGGAAAATGGGCTGATAGAGGAGGGAGTTGGAAGTATAGTAGAAGCTGCAGTTGCAAAGTTGCATCCCTTCTTGAAGCTTGGCCCTCCAATGGAGTCCAAATAGGGGTTCAGAAATGGGATCCCATGCCCAATACCTTTCACTGTGTAACATAACATATATAGAAAAATTTATGATTATAAATAAATTATGATAACGATTTATGATTACGTGCTACGAATAATTCATAATTTACTCTTAATTTAACAAATTTGCATATTGGATAAAATTGTGCCAAACACAATTTTAGTGAATCTATTTTGGGACGGAGGAACTGAGGAAGCATTTAAAAGGTTGTATAATTTATGATCCATCATCTTTAAAAACAATGTAAAAACATATATAATAATCTAAAAAATTTGGTTGGATTACGAAATTACATGCAAAATTATATTCAAATGTTTGGTTGGTTAAAAAATAGAAAAGAAATAACAGATAAATAGATAAATGGTGAGTGCAGAGTGGATTGCAGCGGATTTTGAGAGAATCCGCATCCAATCCACTAAAAGTGGATTTGAAAAATCTCATTTGCATTTACATTAGTTAGGGGTGCAGATCCAATCAATTAATGGCGGATTTGATGAATTGGATGAAGATAGGATGGTGAATTTTTTTAAGTTTTAAAAAAATTATACTCCGTAATACAAGATTTCAAGTATTCAAAAATTAAAACCATAATTTGTCAAGCCTCCCATTAAAAAAAAAAAAAAAAAAAAAAAAAAAAAAAAAAAAAAAACCAACTAACTATGCAATTTTAAAATTCAAGTAAATTTAAATTACAAATCTTCATTCTATCTTTAATGCAATGTTAAACATGTGATTATAACGCCGTGAAGAAAAACAAATATGACTTGAAGAGCGAAGAAGGCAGAAAATTGAAAATAATGACAATTGAGAAAGAGATATAAAACCTTATGCTAAATATGAAAAAGTTACAAATTAAAATTGAATTATAATTTTAGATTTGGACTACACATGCTGTAAAATTGATTTATTTGATCACTAGCTAGCTGTTTGACTTGGTTAAAATCTCAATATAAGTCTTTGATTAATTAGTGTTTTTTTTTTTTTTTAACAGCTATGAACCAAACACTATATAATTAAGGAGCTAGGTTCACTAATTATTTCAATTCATTATACTTGTGCGTGGTTAGGTTAACCAACTTTTGAACTAAATTATGGAGCATTAACAGATTGAGTACAAGATGGTCGTAGTTAAGAAGTAGCATGCATATATGTTTCTAATGATGAATAATTAATTAACTAACATAGGTATCCTAGGAAGACGAAGTTTTAATTGACGTACTGAGAAAGTCGGTGATGAGGCGTCCATCACAGAACCTCCCGGACGGTTGGTGGAAGAAAGATTGTCCGTTTGGGGATAGGAGGGGGTCGCCGATCCCGGCGGCGATAAGGTTGCCGGTGTCGGAGTTTGAATCGCCGAAGTTGAACACTGCTGGGTACTTCAAATCAATGGCGGCATTGGCAAAGGGAGAAGAGAAGATTGTTATGAAGAAAACAAGGGAGATTTGAAAAAGGGAAGAAGACATTGTTGTGATTTTCAGTGTCACCAAACAGGGTGCGGAGCGCATTGTGGATGGTATTATTTCCATTGCCATAAATCCATAATAATATACACAAGTGCTCATGGTGGGGGGTGGGGGGGGGGGGGTGGTATGGGGATGATGATGTGTAGAGAAAGACAATTAGGACTTCAGACTATCATGCAGTTTCTTTTCTTACTTTTTATATTCTTTATTATTTTTATAACTAACTTAAGTTTTGTGATTTTATCTGACCTCAAAAATCAGTCTCAGACTCATGAGGAGGTAAATTGTCCCAATCTAAATTTGGAACTCAACATCATGCACAAAGAGTCTAATTCAAACCCAAACTCCTAATGTGATGCTGAAAGCAAGTCTTAAATGATATTTCTCATCCAGTGGGCCAATGTCTAGGATAATGTTTTTTATATTCTTGCCCACTTTTTATATTCTTGTCATTACTAGATGGGAAGGATGACACTTTCAATCTGACCCGCAGATATCCATACCTGAATCCACCCCGCATTGATTGAGTTTTTTGGGTGATAGTGAGTGGTGTGTCAGAGCTGGGTCTTAAAAATTTAAACTTGCGGTGTTTTATGTACAAATCATGCCTAAACCCCACCCGACCCATCATATACATCAAATGTAACAAAAATAATATTTGGGGACAAAATATGATAAAATAATATTTATACATCGAATGTAGAAGTGATTTAATAATAAATTAATAATGAGACTAAAAATAAAAATACATGGTTTTCAAAAAAAAAAAAAATAATAATAATAATAATAATAATAATACCTTTTTTATTTACGAAAACACTACCCATTTGTATTTATAATAGTTGATGATGCATTTTCGTAGAATTTCTCATGATTTAATATTGTCTAAGCCGCCATTTATTGAGAAAGAGAGGTTAAAATTTGCTTTTCTAAAAAACCATTTAAAAAGTACAGTTCGGGTTCCTCTATGCATTAATTGAGAAAAAAGAGATCAATGTTTGAATCTCGACGGTGACAATGTAGAGATTATGTTTAAAATGGACAAATTCTTTATATATATCGACATTTGGTCACATTTGATCTTATCTGCTGAGTCATTGAGTCACCATGATTTACATTATCCCAAATATTTTGTCAAGTCAGAATTAGGGATTCAACATTTTGGGAGCTAGAAATTTTGGCAACCATTTTTGACTTGTACAAGCAAGCCAGAGCCAGCTTATGATCTTGACTCTTGAGCCCACTCTCATTAAAATCTTCTTTTTTATAGCTCAATTTTCTACATGAAAGTGACTTTTATTTGTTTCGCCATGCTAAAACCAGTTTTTGTATCAATGTCCAAAGAAATTAAAGCATTCATCAAGCTTGATCTAAATGTTCATCACGCTAGAAAATTGAAGGGCAAGGACATATTTGGGTGAATGAAATTATTGCTTGTGGAGAAGTGAAATTTGGTTGATGGATGGGACCAAACTCCATTTGCTTTCTGCAAACGAATATTAGAATTTGCTTTTACGGATGGCAAGTTTTGCAACACACCTACGGGCTTCTCTTGCCCGTTATAGTGTGGACCATGCATGGTTCATATGAAGATGAATCATTGATTTAAAAATTTATTTTTAGTGTATTATGTGTTTATTTTTAGTGTATACTACATAATAAAATGAACTTCAATATATTAAAAATGAATATATATATATATATATATATATATATATATATATATATATATATATATATATATATATATATATATATATATATATATATATATATATATATGGCCGAGTTCAATCCTTACTCAATTCGAGACGTGACGTTGTGGCTTATCATTGAGAGATATAGTTAAATGGTTAATATCTACTTACTTATCACCAATTGATTTTAAGTAGGATATCATAACCAGATAGCTAAATGACTCTGTGGTTCGTGCTTGACGTTGCATCCATGTGAATTATGGTTTACGGTATAATTTGTCTTTCTTGCCAACCCAGAAAGGAAAATTACATTCGAATGGCGTTAATAAAAAAAAATACATAAAATAAAATAGAAAGTAAAAAATTGATATATTTGTAATTAAATTTGGATTTTGAGTTGATTGTTTGTTAATTTTTTAGTTGCTGGTTGTAACTTTATAACTAGAGACTAGAGAATTGTAATTCGAATTCCCTATTAATATTGGATTTGGACTATTCCATGTTTACAATTTTTAGATTTTAAGTTTGAAAATAATTTTTAGATTCTTAGTTTGAAAATAATTCTTAGCGTGTTAAAGGGTGGTTTTAAAAATAAATAAATAAATTGATTTCTTGGAGTTTGTGATGAAGCGCTTAGTTGGATTAAAGAGCTGAGATTCAATCAGATTCAAGTCGAAATGGATGCTTAAGTTGTTTTTCAAGAGCTGAAGGCTGAAACCGTATGTGCTCCTTCGGGCTTGATTATGATGATATCAATCCGTTTGCTAGAAATTTCAATATATTTTTCTCCTTAGTTAAACAATTAGCGAATAAAATAGCTTACGAACTTGTTCGGGTAGCTTGTTCCATGTGTGATTGCTTTGTTTGGAACTTGACTCCTCTCCCTCCTTGTCATTTTAGACACTTTGAGGATGAATTTGGTCGATTTTAATGAAAACCTTTTACTCCCAAAAAAAAAAAAAAAGTCCCGTTTAAAAGTTCAATATGAACTCCCTTTTTGTATCATTTTAATATATAAAGTAAATTTGACTTACCATGATTTACATTCTCCCAAATGTTCTGTCGGGTTGGGGTGTGGGGGGCCCTTAGGGTTGGGGATTCAACCTTTTGGGAAGAATATATAAAGTAAATAATAAATACTCATTGTATAGTACTGTATCAAAATACAAAATAGTCAATAAAAATTTTATCATTCAAATTTCAATCGAAAAGTGACATTATTCAAGCATGTTTAATTGCAAAATTATCCACCAAAAATTCAATGTCTACTTTCTCAAAAATTTCATGTTCGATTGCAATTAATGGCAATCTGTTGGTTACTTTTTGAGATTGGATTAGTTGCTTAATTCGTCTATTATTTTTACACTTCATAAATTCAAATGGATATTGTTGTCAATGGAAGGAGAACAAACAGAGAAAGAATCGAGAAAAAAAAAACGTGATATTCGAACAAACGAAGAAAATTTTAATTTATTGTCAAAAAAAAAAAAAAACAAGGCTAAAGTGTCATCCAGCACCATGAAGTACAACAGATTCTTCATCATGCACCCTAATATTTCATAATTGATATTTCGATCCATGAACCAATAAATTTTTTTCACCTAGAACTTTTTACAAGTTTCTTTCAAGTTATAGGTTATAATATGCTGATGTGGAGGTATTTTCTTATTGACTTATTTAAATAATTAAATATGAATTAAAAGTATGACATGTCAACTGCGAAAGTTGCGTTCTTGCAGCGATATTCTGACAAAGGTACGCAAATTGTTTACACGCCCAGATGTCCTTATATATCAATTCAAGACTACCCATAAGATTAGAGAGATTAGAGGGAGGTTTAATCAGATTGCTGAGAAGGCGGAGGACGTTATCGGCGTCGAACAAAATTAAATTAAGTTTGTAGAAGTCGAAGGAATGATTCGTTAAGCTTTCGCCGAGACTAGATTTGAAGCTCCGGTTATGGGTTGTTGAGGAAGAAGCGTGTATGTGGGTGAATCGAAACTCTGCCACAACATTGTTGTCTGGTATTGGAGAACAAGATTGGCATTGTCGTAGAGGTGGAGCTGGACAGGGGAGTCCGAGGTTGTCTGGGTGAACCGAAGGAAACTTTGTTGCAACAAACCTAACAGCTTGCATCCTGCTCAAAGTTATCTTTCACGTCAGAAGGTTGCTCAGCTTCTTCAGTGTTTCTAAGCAGCTACTCTTAGAGACATTTTTCTTGAACTCTTGCATAGCATTCCCGTACTCAGACTTCAGTTGTGATGCCTTTGCCACATATGCAGCTTTCTCAGAGTCAGACATTGCATTCCATTTCTCACCACCAGCTTTCCCAACAATGGCCATAGATTTGTTATCAGGATAATTCACATATGGAGTTTTTATTTTTTTATTTTTTTATTTTTGTCAAAAGGCCACTTACCGTCATGGTAGTCCTTTCAAATACAATAGTAAGCAACATTCATTCAGATTAGTGTTTGTAGCGGCATATTACATAGCTAGAATACAAATGGTCTTGATCCCTGAAAATTACAGGGGAAATTATGCGTTAACAAGCAAGACAACTCTTTTTGCTTTCTGTGCTTGTGTACGTTCAGAAGTTAAGAAATAATTGTGGTGGTTACCCAGCATACACATCTACATATGGTCATTTTAAAGGAATGAATACAAGATGATGATGATGAAGCATCACAAATTTGAAGTTGCTTCTCTGATCTCCTCCAAAGAAATAGCCTGCTCTTGCCCAGCAAAGTCATTATCAGGGCAGGGTGAGAAAGAGCATGCAGTGACACTCCTTCCTCTCTCCCATATAGGTACACGGGCAAAAACCCTGCTGCACTTCTGCAGGTTTATCATCATAGTGCCTAAAGGGACAGAGCGGTGCACCCAATGAATCCTTGTGTTCTGCCAGTCCCTTAATATGACAACAACAGTGACCCCTTTGCCCATACAGAAGTAGGTTCCAGACTTCCGAGCGTACTGCTCTGAGAACTTCCTAATTATCTCAACAGATTGCTCGGATGGATGGTTCACGTTCAACTTTAGCAATACGACATGCGGCGCTAAACGTAGGAAGGCCAGCTACGGGGAGTAGTAGCAGCAATGGACGGAATGCCAAATCCAAGATTGTAGGGAATGGACGCCTGAAGAGCACTCATGGCGGTAACTAATGTCTAAGAAACGGCGGGTTAGTTTACGCCACAGTTTTACAGAGAAATATCAAGAAGAGGTTATTTTATTTAAATGGGGGATTTGATTTAAAAAAAAAAAAAAAGTCCACATCAGCACATTACTTTAAAAAAAAAAAAAAAGATCTACATCAGCACATTACTGGTGCCATGTCATCATGGTAACAGGAAAACCTATTAAAAATTCTAGGTGGAAAAAATTTAATGGTTCATGGATCTAAATATCACTTATGAAAGATCAGGTGCAGCATGAACAATCTGTTGTAGTTCATGGTGCGGGATGACACTTTAGCCAAAAAACAAAAACAAAAGGAGTCAAGGCCAATGTGTATTAGGCACGGTGTGGCGTGAAAAAGACTCACTGCTTTTTAAAATAATTTCATCTGTGCCTAAGTGCAAGACATAAAGAATGACGTTGTTTCTCAATGAAGTTTTTCTTATTCTCCTCTTTTCCGAATGAAAGATTTTGTTTTTGGATGATTTAAAAATGACAATGAGTGATACTATTTATAGCAATACTAGATGAATAAAAACGATAGTGTAACCATACTTGAGAAAGTAGTTTATGAATAGATACTACATTGTAATAGAGTCAGTGACATTCAAAAAAAAAAATAGTAACCATACTTGATTTGGTTCACTGAGCGCTTATCCTAGCATTAAGAACAAACATAGCTTATTCGATCACTAGGTTGGAAGGCTCCCCATTTATCAATATTTTGTTTGATTTTTTTTTTCTTTTTATGCATATTTATTATTTAATTTTAAACAGCAAGGTTACAATGATGATCGGCATTGCTCTTCTACAACTTTGGAAATACATAGGCCCTGTTTGATTATCGACGGATCTGCTATTTTTGACAGTTTGACCAAAAAAACTGTTTGGTTAGCAGCGGTTTGCTCCAAACCACTGCTTTCGCAAACATTTGCAGCGTTTGCGGTTAGCATTTTGGGGAAAAAAACGCCCCTGTTTATATATTATTTTAAAAAAAAAAACTACAAACTTTTATTTGAGGAGCCAAAATGGCTACTCAAATTGAGGAGCCAAAACGGCTCCTCAATGTTGCCCATCTTAGATGGGCAAGAGGCTCCTTAAATAGGAGCCTCAAGGCTCCATTCCCACTTTTCCCACCGATGTGGGACGGTGGGAAAAGTGGGAATACAAGAGCCAAGAGGGGTGCAGCTTGCGCTGCTCCCTTCCTTCTTTTTTTTTTTTTTTTTTTTTTTTATTCTTATTACTATTATTAATTATTAATTATTAATTATTATAAGGGTATATAGGTCATTTTACATGTTAACCGCTAATCTAAACAGCTAATTTTATTAAACACTTTTTTATAAACCGCTAATACAATCTGCTGGTCAAACACGCTAATACAATCCGCTACTGATAACTGCTAACACAACCCGCTACCGCTAACCACTAACCGCTGATAACCAAACAAGCCCTATAGACTTATACTTTTACCATTTACTTTAGGGTGATAGTAAATACAAAAGCTTCAAACTACTAGCTTTTTAGTTAACATTGCTAAATATATATTTTTGGGAAAAATATAAAAAAGCTGAACCAAAATGGGTCAAAAAGTTGAACTAAAAGCTAATCCAAAAAGAGATGGTGCTTCTTCTATCTTTTTTTTTTTTTTTTTTTTTTTTTAATAAATGTGTATGGAAAGCTTACATACCCCTTAAAATCTCCATATTCATGGTGGTCTCACATGGGATATTCTAATATCAAAAGTAGAGTTTATTCCAACATCTTTAGTTCATTTTGTTTCTTCCTCCTCCATCACTCTTTGGAATAGAGGCTCTGCTTGGTAAAACTTATTTTAGAATTTATATAACTTATTTTGAGTTATAAATAAAGCTCTAATTGGTAAAACATATGAAGCTTTATTTTGAAATGCTATCCCAAGTAGCGCTACCCTAAGTAACGTTTCAAAATAAGTTCATGAGTCCTACTTTTTAACTTTTTTTTTAAATCTTTATTAATTTACAAAAATGATACAATCTACCCTTTATTATTCACAAGCTTAATATCTTAGTTTATCTTTTTATGCCTTTTACACTTATCAACTAATTCAACAATTAATTTTATGAAACACTTTAATTTTAATTAGTTAGCTTATTAACTATTAACTTTTCAGTTTTCAGTTAGTTTTTCAGTTAGGCATGATAAACCTAGTCTATACAATTGATTATATTAGGACTCCTCTAGAACATTAAGGATCACTCTTAGAAAGCTTTAAAACATCTTTTAACAATAACTTCATACTTTTTTGAGAGACTAATTTAGTGAAGGATAATCAGGGGAATTTTTTTTTTTAATTGAATTGAATAAGCAACATTGATTCTCGTATTCATTTTCATGAAGATTTTAAACATATTTTTTTTTCTTGTCGGGAAGTGTTCTGAGCAAACTCTAATCGTAGGAGGCACTAAACCTTACTTGAAATAGCGTTTTAAAATATTCGGGATAGCGTTTGGCAATTTTGGTCAGGCCATGAGGATTTTAGGAATAATTTGATCAAGAAACAAATGGAGTTTTCATTATTACATCATCAATTGATTTAATTAACACTACGTACTTCAGCATTTAATCACTTTTTTCATTTAAGATCTTCTGGATTCCTTTAAATTTAAGAAAAAGTCCGCAATGACTATCCGTATTCCAACAATGGCATGAGATTACAAACTTATGTGACATTACCACATCAATTTTTTTTTATTTTTTTTTTAAACAAATAAGTACCTACATGTTTTAAATGCAAATCTTGCAGCTAGGTGTACTATTGCCACTTTTTATGTTATGCCCAATATGTTGTTAAAAGTATTATTATTATTCATCTATAATAGTTGGTCACTACTGTCCCGACGAAAATCCAACTAACTCCAATGATGCTCCGGAGGTCACCAGCCTGCCTTTGAAGAAGGCGACCATTTGGTTGCCTTCTCCCATGGTCGCCTCCTACTGGAGAAAGTGACTAGCTGGTAGCCTTCTTCTTCAAGGGCATACCGACGATCACTGAAGCGCCGTCGTAGTTAGTCAAATTTTCGTTGGAACGGTAGTGACCTAAACAAGTCAATAATCAGTTTGTGGATTTTGATGCACGAAAATAATATATTTATGGGCTTAATTGCAAATTTTAAAGGCCTAATTGACTTATAGTATAAAATATAGAAACCTATTTAAGTACATAAATTACAAATATGATGATATATCAGTATTCTCACTTTTGAAAGTGAGAAAATACAAGGATACACAGAGCCTTAGCAAAGTCTTTTATTTTGTTAAATAGAAGGTCAAAAGAACTTGTAAAGCTGAGTATACATATACTTCTAAGTCCATACCATTACAGAAAAATCTATATAACAATACAAGCATATACTATATCTCTCATAAGAACAAAGCATAAATTGCCCTAAACAACAGAACAATATACTATTAGAAATTGTGTAGCAGAAAGCAAATTATGCAGCTAAAATACCTCGAGAAATCGGATTGGTTGTGATTTGGTAACCAAATGACTCGGTTTTTGAAGCTCGAAAACAATAGTCTACCTGCCATCGTTCGTAATTAACTGGGAAAATACTTGGCTGGTCGATATATCTGAAACAGCATTACCATTATCTGCTAAGATGGCTCTCGGGGGTGGTGGTTGCTCGGTAGAAGTTGCGGGATTGACTTCATCGTCGGGTTCACCCCGCCCTCCGTTCCCTTGAAGCTGAAGCACGTATTCCAAGTTCCACAGCACGTCTCCCATTGTAGGCCTATCGACGCCATAGTCAGCCAGGCATTTCTCTGCTGTCTCGCCGTATTTTTTCAGGGCACTCGGTTTTATCTGGTCTCGTATGTTTGGATCAACGATTTGATCTATCTGCCCTCGTTTCTGCCACTGCAATGCCCATTCCCCCAAATTCACTTGCTCCCTCTCGAGCACGGGGTCAACAGCGGGCCTTGCACATAGCACTTCGAAAAGCACGACCCCGAATGAGTAAACGTCTGATTTATCAGTAAGCTGCTGTCTCCGGAAATACTCGGGGTCGAGGTACCCGAAGCTTCCTTTGACACCAGTGCTGACGTGTGTCTCGTCGAGACAGGGGCCGGACCTCGAGAGACCGAAATCAGCAACCTTAGCAACGTAGTTTTCGTCGAGCAAAATATTGGTCGATTTAATGTCCCGGTGGATGATCCCTTGTGCGAAACCCGTGTGGAGGTAGTGGAGGCCTCTTGCTGCTCCTATGCACACCTCGAGCCTTTGCTTCCAAGACAACGGGGGTAACCGGCCCCCATACAAGTGCTTCTTTAGAGGTCCGTTTTCCACATACTCGTAAACGAGAATCATCTCGGACTGCTCCTCGCAATACCCAACAAGGGAAACGAGATGGCGGTGGCGAATTTTGGAAAGAATCGAGATTTCTGTGTGGAATTCGGGGAGGCCTTGCCTGGAACCGGGCACACACCGTTTAACCGCAACCTTTATGTTGTCTTTAAGAACTCCCTTGTAAACCATCCCGAACCCCCCCGAACCAATAATCAGACTCTTATCGAAATTACTCGTTGCCACTTGAATATCTGCAAATGGAATCCTCATCGCGAGATACCCATTCGGGCCGAGAGGAACGAGGCCAGTCCCTTCAGACAACGTGCCAAGGGAACTTCCTCCATATTGGCGTAAAGGAGTCCAGCCAGCACTCTCCGTGCGCTTCGGTTTTGGTTTCTTTTTTCTACATTTCAACAACACTAACATAGCCAACAATCCCAAGCTCACCAAAGCCACTCCACCAAGAATCGAAACAACCAAAACCCAAACATTTCTCTTCTTAGACCCATCTCGCAAAGCCACAACATTCAACATCTTCATAACCTCCACCCCGTTAAGAATAGCGTTCTTCTTCCAAACACTACTCATATCAGACGGACCAACGCTGATCTGCAAAACCCCGCTATCCCCCGTGTAGACAACGAAATCAATGTAGTAAGGCGACGCCAGAACGTGAAACGTGAGTGCAGACAAATCAAGATCTTTATACGCCATTACTCCATTGATATAAACATTGAAGTACAAAAGGCTAGGAGCAGAGCTCACGATATCGCAGAAATGCAACCGAACAACGTGTACACTATCCCGGGATCCCACGGGGAAGCTCCATGTTACATTAAACATGAAATTCGAAGTCGCTTTTTCCCAGTTCATCTGCTGGGCAGTCATGTAAACATTATCAGGGGCAATCTCTTTGGTGGCACCACCTGTTTGGTAATTGGGGACATGACTAATCCAAGCAAGCTTAGCAGCAGATTTCAAGACAAGAAAATCTTCATCTGGAACCCAAGTTCTCCACAGGGTATCATTAAAAGGTGTAATCTTTGCCCCCCCAACATTAACCCTATGCACAGTTTCTAAAGTCTGCAAAGTGAGATTCTGATTGAACTCCTTAACACTAACAGGGCTAGGGCTAATCAGTTTAATCCCAGGATCAATAATGAAATCATCAGGAGCAGAAAACACTTCAATCGCATTAACAAACCCAAACCCAGAATCAAGAGTGGGTGTAAACAAGATTTGAAGCTGTACCTTGTCCACCATCATTATAAACTCCTTAAGAACATTGGACCCAACACCAACACCAAAACCAAAATTCTTGAACAGCAAAACCCCATTAGCGGAAACACTGAAATTCGCGTCGTGGAGGTTGAAATTCTGGGAAACGAAAGGGGAGAAATGCAAACGAACCAAATGGGTCCCTAATTTCTTGATATTCAACGAATATGCCGAGGCAGCAGTGAAAACTCTGGCTGTACTGTACACCAAAGACAAATTGGAACCAGTTCTTTGGGGTTTGAGCGAAATTGCTTCGCCTTGGGAGAGATGAACTGAACCAGACTTGATGGAATCGCCAAGAAAGCTTCTGTTATCCACGCTGATGCTCCTGTTTGATCCGCAGTTGATGAGGTAATTATCTTGAGGAATGAAAGCTGTGGAGAGGTGTATGAGAGAGAAGAACAGTGGCACCAAACTAAGATTTTTGCTTCTCATGGGTACCGGTTTTGTTGGTTCACTGGAAAACGAAATTTTGTCGAGAATTGAAGACACTGAGGCTTAGTGGGAGAAAGGGGAGCATATTTAGGAAGGAGGGGAAAGAATTTTTGCAGTTCTTGAAAAGTGTAGCTTCACAGAATGGGGAGGAGCCACTGGAGAGTGGAGATTGTAAAAAACTCTTTCATGGCCGCCTGAAAATGGAATTTTTCAGGTTAAAGAATGATGTTAGGCACCACCGCACAATGAACTAAGAAATTAGAAGAAATTAGAGATTAGAAGTTAGAACCGCAATGTCAAGCTTGAGAGCATAATACTGTGGAAATATTGAGATCTAAACTACTCAAACATCATACTCCCTTCTTCCCATTTTTAAGTTTAATCAATTTATTTACAATATAAATTTCAGGAGGGCGTGGGTTCGAGCCTCAGTGGAAGCAGTATTGACTCTTTGTGTTTCAGTAGGTTGAGAAAGTAGTTATGAACAGATACTATATTATAACACGGTCAGTAGTACTAAAAAAAAGTTGTCCTTTTGCCAAACACATTGTGCTCAAATGACATCTTTGTGACTCTTTTTTAGAAAAGGTCACAGGATTGAAATTCGGTGGCGGGGTATTAATCTTTGTATTCAGGTGAAGTTCAGGTCACTAATAAGTCATACTGATCAGGTGAAATCAAGAAGGCCAAGGTGAAATTCAAATTTTCCATAGTTGATCGGCTCAAATTAAGAAGGTCAATAAACAACTCCTGCAATGAGTTGAATTTAGAACATTGTGGTTACTAAAACAACTGTATGATCAACATGGTGGGGGGTTGCCCTCAATTTTAATACTATGGATAGTTATATTGGGTACAAATCAACATAATACTTATAGACATCTCAAGAATTTCATATTAAATATATATATTTAAAAATATTATTAAATACACAAAATTGAATTTAAAAATTATATGAAGGTGATTTTCTTCCACTAAATCAAATTCATAATATTTAAAAATAATTTCCAAATAACATTCCATTCCCCCAACTACCATTTCAAAAATATTATTCATGTCATTCACAAACTAGCCATGTCTAATGCTTTTCATGAAAGCCATTAATGAAGTTGTTGTTTGTCAATAATTGAAAGTGATTCAGCTTTTGCTATGGTTGTGAAAAAGAAAAATAAATGGATGAAAGGATGAATGAATTAAAGATTTATGCAATCAAACTTACTATTTTGCTATAATTTGCATTTCCATCAATTTATTAAGAATTTTTCAGTTGATGAAATGGGAATATATAAAAATAAATTACTATCTGGCATTTTTTTGTGTGTGAAAACAACAAAAAAAGTAATTTAAAATTAAAAGTGAAAACGTAATTATACTCGATAAATTAAAAATAGAAAATTATATAAAGAGACACTTTAGAAAAATGGCAAATGATGAGCATTTGACAAATTTTGGCCTGTGTTTGCTAAAGATTTGATCATAGTAATCAAAAGTGGTAACTTTTTTTTTTTTAAGTGAAAAAATAGTCAATGATAAAATTGAAGATTTTTAATAATCTTAAATATATAAATTTTAGAGAAAGTAGCATTAATGAGCTCATGTACAAAACATAATGACTTGTTATTTGCAGTGTCAATTTTAGCTATTTAGGCATGCGTAGCTGTCTTGAGTTAAGTATTCTTTACAGCTATAATATCCACCTAATCCCACGAATTTCTATTTAGACATTTTTCTCATTTCAAGTGATTCTCAAAATATATCTATCGCAGTTAAAAAAAAGTTTAAAAATGTTTGAAAACTGCTCGCACAGGTTAGCTTCCTGGTTCAGTAGGTAGTATTTAAGAGAAGAAATTAATGTTCAAACCTCGGTAACGGCATTGGGACAGATTTCTTGTGCACACCAATATTTAATCCTGTCGGTTGAGTCATTAAGTCACTGTGATTTACATCCTCTCAAATACTTTGTCAAGTCGAAATGTGAAATGTCTTTAGGGTTCGAGATTCAACCTTTTGAGATAAGAAAAATATTTGGAAACTTGCATTGTCCAACATGGACTAGTGTATAAATTTTAATATATTTTTAATAAATGTGAAATATGTTGTTAGAACGTTTTTTCAAATTTTCGTCCTCTTATTTTCTGACACATGTCTCTGTTTCTTCGAACAATGTTAGAATATGTCACAAAACATTATGTTAATAATTGAAATTTTCAAGATGCAGTTACGTTACTGGACATATTTGTAATGATTTTGTGATGTTTGCGCATGTCGGAAATTAAGTAATTTAATTTAATATACAATACCGATTACCGACGTACCAAGAAGGATTTAAATTAGAAGTATAATAATAAAAATCTGAAAGCTATGTAGCATATTGCAACAAGAAATAAAGGAAAAACAGTGTTCCACTTCTCTGAAAAACAGATCCCAAAATTTTACTTTTTTTATTTTATTTTTTTTATTTTAATAATGCTCCAATAAACTATCCAACCATACTAAAAATTGACAATTAAGTCATTCAATTAAAAAAATTGCAATCAATTTAATAAATTATGAATAGTCCAAAATCATGCAATTAAATTAAAATTAACATATTCCTCCCGTTATTAATAAAGTGATGGTCACCCCATTAATAATTATTATTTTTAAATTTATTTTGATAATTTAAATTAATATTATTATAAAAAATTTTATGTTTAACTCTAGGCTCTAGCCATCATTTTGATTGAACATACAATTTATTTAAAAATAGTTATTAAAGAACTGAAATGCAAGTAATATTCTACTAATACTTATCTTTTGAATTTGAGTTATTTGACATTTGTATCTTGATTGAAGACATAGACAAGTCATGATTGGCAGAAGATTTTGGATCTATGCATTTGAAGAAATAGAGGATCCAAGTGTGATTGTTGGACACTTTAAGGGCCCAGCTGCAATTATTCATTTTATTTTTTTTAATAATATTTTTGGGGGTGTAGGTAATGTATTAAAATCCTAATGCTCCATCTGTACCTTATCTTATTGTGTGAAAGTGACACCCACCAACTGAGTCTACATGAAATTTCAACATCTTTAGTTGTCACATATATAGTTGGGATCCATGGGGTACGGTGGAGAGTTATATTGCAACTCCCATAATTGCACATGCTTTGAATGACATATAATATAATGCTATATGTGGGTGGATTTCTTGTTTCTCGTATTTTCCATCATATATAAGTCACCAAAATCAGTTGGAAGCAATAAATCTTAAAATTTGATAATAATATATCAAAAGTTATAGGTCAACTCCTTAGATTGTTCTGATCTTAAATTTGACAGAGTGTAAAAACTGTCTATTCATTATATAGAGCTGTTAAAAGTCAAAACAAGTCGTATAACCCGTATTTTAGACGGGAATAAGTTGGAGAATTTTCAACCCAACTCGTATCTCTACCACAAATTAAATTTGTTATTTAATTTATACTATTAAAATCAACTATGGTAAGAACATCTTTTAGATATATATATATATATATATATATATATATATATATCATTCACAAGAATTATATATATAATTTATTTATATTACATGTATTGCAAGTATTAATTAATCCAATTAATTATATCTTTATATAATTATTAATATAAAATTTATTTATTATAAAAACATTACATGTAAATTATATAGTATTAAATATTAAGTAATTTTTTATTTAAAACTTAAAATCGGGTTATAGAGGAAAAAAAAAACGCTCCGCAACCTTCGCTACTCTTTTCTGATCGTGATCCCCGATCAACGATCTCCGATCGTGATGTAGAACGTGGCCCTCCCTCTTGGTGGTGGCCAAGGGAGTCCTTCCCTGGTGATCTGGGGTTTATATTCCGCTTTTGATTATGGATTATTGTGAGATTCTTTGCTGCATTGTGTTGTTATTCTGTGTCCGACCCTCTTCTGTTGCGATGGATATCAGCCAAATAGAGGAACGATGCGCGGATCTGTCTTTGGCCGAGGAGGAGATGAACGCGATGGAAGCCCCTAATATCTAGACGAATCCTGACGCGACGATCGAACACAATTTGGTAGGACGTTTCCTCACGGATCGGCCGATCAAATTCGAGTTTATGCGGCAGGTGATGGCCTCCGTCTGGAGACCGGTGATGGGCATGCACGTTGTGCCTTTGACGGACGAATTGTTCCTATTTCAATTTCCCCACCTGAAGGATCTGCGACGCGTCCTCGATGAGGGTCCCTGGACTTTCGAGAACCACACTTTCGTGTGTGAGCAGGTCCCGCCCGACGCCAGGCCGGAAGAGGTGAGTCTGGATCATATCTCTTTCTGGGTCCAGGTGCATGGTCTGTCGACGGTGTACGCATCCACGGAGTTCCTCACGAAGATTGGTAATTATGTGGGCACGTTTGTGTCCATCGATCCGCTCAATTTTGGTGGAACGTGGAGAAGCTTTTATCGTCTCCGAGTACGGATGAACATAGCGACACCACTGAAGAGGCGCATGAAACTAGTGCGCAAGGATGGCACGTCAGAATGGATTTCATTCCGTTATGAACGTCTGAGCACCTTCTGCTATTGTTGTGGAGTGCCAGGACATTCGGATAAATTTTGCAGGCGAGTGTACATGGAGGGAATTGCACCAGAAGATTTTCCGTTTGGCAGTTGGATGAGGGCAGGCCAGCGTCGCCAAGTGCGTCCGGTAGGGGTGAAATGGTTGCTGTCCACACCAACAACACAGTCCGCGACGGGGAATGAGGCTGTTACTGGGATCTCGCCACCTATGTTGGAGGCAATGGAGGAGAATGGTGGTCTGCAAGGGGACTTGAAACGCAGGCGTGAAGACTCTGAGACGTCTGGCAGCACGCATGCGGAGAATGTTACGATGGTAGAGACGTCAAAAAACACTGTGTCGGCGGGTCTGGAGGACCAGACTCGCCAAGCCAAATGAGTCTCCTGAGCTAGAACTGCCGGGGTTTGGGTGGCACCCGGACAGTTCGTGAACTCTTGGGCATGGTGTCCAAGCAGCGACCCTTCTTCGTCTTTCTAATGGAGACGAAGGCTAAGGTACAACGTGTGGAAGAGGTGAGAGTGAAACTAGGATTCGAAGGTATGATTTCTGTGGATCGGCAGGGCATGGGGGGAGGATTGGCAATGTTGTGGAGGGATGCAGATAGTGTTTCTTTACTGAGTTATTCTCAAAATCACATCGACATGGAAGTATCACTACCGGGTAAACCGTCATGGCGGTTGACCGGCTTCTATGGAAATCCAGAGCAATCAGACAGACACATCACATGGGATCTACTGCGGCAACTCAGGGACAAATCATCATTACCTTGGATTGTCGTTGGTGATTTCA